CTTTCCCTTAAACATTTAGTTATATTAGCTCATTCTTTTATGAATTTAATGAAACTATATTTTAATTTAAACATGATATAACTAGTTATTTTAATCAAAATATTTATTATAAATAAAAGTACACAACTTCAAATTTAAAAAGTGAGACTTATTTTTCATTTTCGTAACTAAAATTTGATTCCTTTGTTTAAGAAAAAATAAGCTCTTTGCTATGTAGCCTACCACCGAGCATTGATAGACATTAAAAAAAAATCAAATGACTTAAAACTTGACCTTTTAAAGAAAATATTTTATTAAAAACTGTAAATTGGTTCATTTAGTAAATAAATTTGGGTCCAGAAAAATATACAATGAAGAAATCAAAAGCTCCTGATCTAACATATTCTCAAATAATTACGTATATATATGGACATATATAGGAGAAATCAATACCATGTCAATATATCATATAAATATACTAACATACATAATCATGTTTCAATTAATTATAATTCCATAAACTTTTATGTCCACAAACACGTACTTAATACAAGTTTTATATATGTTCTTTGTTGGGAAAATCTGATTAAGAGAGAATTATACACACAATTAGATTTCATTAAGTATTAATAAGAATAGCCACCTTTAAAATCAAAATAATTTAAATGTGACATAATAAGAATGTAATTATATGATATTAATTTGTAATTAAAACCTTTCAAAATATCTACATAAAAGAATAAAGCTTAAACATATACTTTAATGTTATTATTTAACTAAAATTAAAATTTTGCTTTAATAATATATGCCTTTAATATTGATTTTATTATATAAATTATTAAAATAAAATTATAATTTAAATTGAAAAACATCAACGTTCTTATCATATTATACCTAAATTTTATCATATATACAATATAGTTAGGATCAAAATATATGCTAAACCATTCATGAGTATTGTTTGCTCACCATATATTTTCATTGGCTCACCATTTTTACCAAATAAACTGATTCAATATTCAGTTTTAAGTCATTGAAAAAACTTGTTCATCAACATTTATTGGACCATATCTTAGTTTCATGAATGAAAAATAGAAAGGAAAAAGAAAGACCAAAAGAAATCCTTTTTAGCAATTAACAACCACATTCACTTTTCTTTCTAAAATTGCTTTTTTATGACTATGTTAATATTATAAGAAAATAATAGATTATATATATATATATATAAGGAAGAATTTATTTATTTTATAGAGTAAGTCTAAATCCTAAATCCTAAACTTAGACTTACTTCATTCAGTAATTTATATTTTACATCAAATCTCAATAATTCAATAATTAAATTTAAAAGTTCTTAATACATAGATCAAATCTATAAATTAAAAAAAATCTGAAAATCATTTAATACTTATTTTCATTAATTCAAATCAATAGATAAAATATTTTTATGATTATTCATCAATTTAAATTAATGAAACGAAATATTAAATAATTTTTATTTTTATTTTTTAAATTTGTAAATTTGATCTATGGATCAAGAACTTTAAATTCAATGATTGAATCGTTAAAATTTGATATAAAACATAAATTATTAAATAAAGTAAATCTAAATAGATTTATTCCTGGAATAAACAGAGATTCTTTCTCTCTCTCCCCCTATATATATATATATAAGTTTTCAAAATGAGTTATTCACTTTTTAATCCCTACATCAATGTCCATTAACAGAAGGACAAAATTGTACACAATACATTCCAAAACCGAAAAACGAGTTAGACTTTAAAGGACTAAATTGTACAAAAGAAACATACATTCAGAAATTGAAGATAAATTACGTGCCACTTTCTGGAACCAAATCATGGATTAACTGAAATTAATGTTGGGGACATGTGACGAGAACTAAGCCATGCATATAATCAAATGGCTGAAACTTTTTTCTAGTGCACCTCCAGTTCACGCCATCACAAGAGAGGATCCGTACGCCTCTTTGAACTCCCTGTGTTTCTCTGAACGGTAAGCTAGAAAGATCAACAGTATTCCAGATCACAAGGCACCGATAGAAGTACAAGAAAACCAAACCATGTTAATCGTTTTCCTAAACAAGCTCCCACGATACCAGACATTTACTATTTAAGCATTTTATTAGAATGTTTGATGACATTGACATCAGTCATCAGATATCAGATCACGTGTTTTCAAAGAGGAAATATAGAATTGCAGAAAAACTTGAACAAGGTCCTTTTCATTCCGGCCCAACAAAAAGATCAAATAAATAAAACAACATAAATTTAACACATCTATTTTTTCCCAGCACTCCAGATATCTAACGTAAATCTGCCAGAGTTTTCCTCCTTCCCTAGGTAACTAGAAGTGCCTTTCTCTAGCAGAGAGAAGGACTGTTACATTTATAACTGATTTTTCCTAAAATATATAACTACAGTCACATAGCCAGCTCTCTATCCAATCCGTGCGATCTTCCTCTTACTGTCTACACGAAACTAAAGAAGGCAAATATACAAATCAGCACCTTGAATTCTCAAGTCTAACTATATCATTCCCTCGGTAGAGTTAAATAGTTTGAGACAAAAATGATCACCTGCAAATCTGGAGTTCCAGTAATAGGAATACATTCCTTTTCGCTTTGGCCCACAGCAATTCATTACTTCTGAGCTGAAGAATCATTTGCCCAATGTCACAACTTCGGCTCATGATATTGTAGAATTTGTTTCTGTCTCTGCTTTCTGTAATTCGTTGTTCATAATATTTAAAATATCATTTGGGGGACATTTGTCTGCAGGATTCTCCGCAGATGTTTGGCAGAAGCATTCAGGCCAAGAATTAGTATAGAAAGACTCTGGAGAAACACGCTTATGAGGTTCTCCAAAGTTTGTTTTGAGCATGACTTTCCTAATAGCTTCCTCAAAATCAGCTGTCCGCCCATTCTCCCTATCAATGAAGATGGGAGCAAGAGCTTTTCTGTCAGGTCTGATAGTAGTCCGGAAGCCATAATAAAGGCGATGACCAAGGAGATTGTTGGCAAAGTTGCTTGGGCCATCATACGTTGGCATGAAAATGTCAGAAAGAAGACAGACCATGTAATCCACAGCAGAACCTGCCAATCCCCTAGTGTTTTCAGCAAGCTCTTCAGAGTGTTCCACTGAAGAATGATTCTCGAGTTGAGGGAACAAACTGCGAAATGGATTCATAAATCGTTCCCCACCAAACAATTCACCAGCTGCAAGATATATCCGGGTAGAATTGTCAAAACCCAATGCACGCAAAATGAGACCAACCTGCAAAAAGAAACACATGAATGTACAACCCATAGAAACATTGGAATCATATCATGGAAAGGTTAGTCTATTTATCAGATCCTTAGAAACAAATTAAAGGACAGTCAAAGCAAAACTAATTTTTACCTCCTCGGGAGTCAACGGGCATTTCCCAATGGCCCTTCTTTCACTATAGACAAGTCTTTTAGGTGCAAAATTTTCTTCTCGATATTTCTTCAAAATCTTTTGCTCCGCAGGTGTAAATATATCAAAGCATCTAGAACCACATTCATATTCAACATAAGTAATTTAGAAAAAGAAGCATTTCATTATATCAGATATTGTTTGTAAAAGTATGAAAAACACAAAATAAAAAGAACATTTTGTACTAGTGATCACTGTTTTGAAAACCAGACCAGACCGGCCAATTAGACTGGAAAACCAGTAAACAGGTCCAGTGTCGGGTTCATATAAATCGCTAAACTGACCTGTAGAAGAACCGGTCAAAAATCAAGAAAACCAGTAAAAAAAACTGGTTTGCAACGGGTCAATGAAAAATGCTTAATAAAATGTCACTTTGATTTCTTTCTTAAAAAAACGAAAATCAACTTAAAGTATTTATCCTTTGCTTTTTTCATTTTTGATGTAAACTTTTTATTGTTAATGGACATTGTTGTGTATTGTTGAAACTTGAACCTAGGTATTATGATATATTTGATTTGAACTTTTTGCAAATACTTTGAATGTTATGAACCTATAAAATTATGCATTATTTTAAGTTTTTAATGTTATAGAGTTATGATATTATGTTTCTTTAATGCTATTTTATATATTATTTAATTATTATTATTATTTTAATGATATCAGTTCGACCATGCCATTGAAACTTGAACTGATATCTTGATCAGTCTAATTTTAAAAACATCATTAGTGATCCTCTAGAAATACAAGAAGGCACCAAAGTGTGAAGGATGTCTCTTCGATCTATATGATCAAAAAACAAACTGGTGATTTTAGAATTGTCTGCACCCAGTCCACCATTTATCAGATGTTCAATAGCAGTTTAAGGGAGGAAACATGACACACCAACACCATCCGTTTTAGTTGTGTAAAAAGTACCCAGTTTGAAAAAAAATGTTCTATGTTGGGACAGAATTGAGTTGAAGCCTCCTCCTTATCACAAGATTATAGAAAAATATTTTAAGCATGAAAAAGTTGAGAAAAGCAGCTGATCAACTATGTCTGACCAATGGACAGACAAAAAATGGTAATCCATTAAGAACTTTTTTTGGTCAATAGTCCTAAAGGAACAACCTTGTTTTCAACTGAGATACAAGTTTACCACCTCTCAACTCAACCTGAAGAAAGAGGTTTACTCATGACACCATTTGTCATAAAATTAACCTTGATCCAACGCACCCCTCAACAACACCAACAACTTCATCTCTTCCACACAGAACATGACCACTAAATTAGCTAAAAGAATTATCATTTATTTATATCCCATACAACCGGAGCTGGTATCTAAAGAAGGGGGAAAAAAATAAGCTCATAATTTAACAGGCTGCAAGAATAAATCTAAACCTATGGTGCTAGAATTCCAAGAAAATTGCTGCACTGCACCATCAAAATTGCCACGGCTCATTAGTTCAACTTATTTTGAAGAAATGACTGTTTATTTTTGTCAATTTTCTGAGAAAAGAGAATTAGTTAAAATAAACTATTATTTCTCCAGAAATAAGCATCCAAACAAGGTAAATATGTACATAATTATTCATCTATCCTATATATATATATATATATATATATAAAGTCCTACAGATTTGATCTAGGATTTTTGACAAAGGTTTGTCATAAACATCCATTGCTTTAAATCAAAGAAAAAACATGCATTTAACTCTAGGTATTGTAGGAAACAAGAAGACAACAATTACACTATTTGCATCTCATTCAATGTCAAATTGTCAATAGACATGCAAACATAATTGTCCAATCCAACCCAAATAAACTTACCCAGCAAATGCTAACATGTCCATCTCAAACCGAAGATGTATAGACATGAAGGGACCTTGTGCACGTAGCTTGTCAACTATTGATTGACTTAGCTTCATAATATGTGGCTTGAACCTTAAAGCATGATAGTTAACTCTGCACCTCAACCTTTGGTACTCTGGATTGTCAATTTCTTCAGCTAAGCGATGTGAAAAGGGAGTAAGATAAATGGCACCATGGTCCTTCATTTTCTTCAGAGCATCAGTAGTATACCAACTTATAGGAGCATCTCTAGGAGGACGAAGCTGTGTCAAAATAACATTGAACATTTTATCCAAGAAATTGAAATAATTTCAAACTACTTATTGATGACCAAATTATTATAGTATACCTGAAATGCCTTTATTTTCTTCTTTTTGCCATTTTTCTGATTTTCTGGAATGCTTTCAACAATCTTTACGTCATACCTCAACGTTTTGATGAAATGCTCAACATCATAGATACCATGGAAACCACTGCATGTAATAAAACTCAAGGCACCAATTAGTGTAGTGTGACTCTGGCTTGTCATAAATTAAGAATCAATTAAACCATTATCTTTACTATTATAGAAAGGGGATTCCCCATTTTGTATCTTCCTGCTTTTCAAAAAAAATGTCCATTTATTTCAACTTTGGGGAAGTTTTTTAAGGGGGAAATAATCACTTGTTTTTCAATAGTTCTCTGAAGAAGCTGCCAAAAAAAAGTGATATTATTTCTTCAAAATAAATTGAACCAAAACATGAATGGGAAATAAAGGGAGTTGGGAAATTTGTCACTACAAATTAGCTACAAAGGCCCACCACTAAACCAACTCCTACTTGGAGAGAACTTAACAAAAGATAAATAAGGAATTTTAAAGCCTGTATTTAGATTTAAAAGGACAAAACTGTCATGCCATGAAATTGAATTTTCTCTTTACATATGCACTACAGGTGCCTCTTTTCATTAAAGCCTGTTGATTTGAATCCGAATCTTAATAATCAAATTAACAAAACACAAACAATTAAACTTAAGAAATTTAGTCCAAAGTTTAAGTGAAACATGCTGTACATGGATTTTGGATGCTAAAAATAAATCCCACTCATTTCTGTGCATCTAACAGGTTAAGCATCCAAATCCATCTGATAAGTGAGCAAGTATCTACCGCAGGTTTAGAGTAAAGTACAGGAGTGTGATACCTTAGATAAGAACATCAACAGGTGTATACCTAATCAAATGTACATACACAAAAAAAATAGAAAAACATAGGCTACTACATCAATTTGTGTTGTAAATAAGAATATCTTAGGAGATTTGATATTATTTTATAATCTTTCATTATTTCCTTTATTTTTGCTTATTTTCATAGTTACCTATTTTAAGGACAAATGTATGTTTATAATAGGGTAAGAGAAGAATGTAATTAGTGAGAAATAAATTAATAAAATCCTCTCTTTCTACTATTTGTTTCTGAGAAAATAAACTTGAGCAGGTCTTAACTTCTAATGAGATGAGAAAAAAGGAAATTCCTTAAGTAAACGGTAATTATTGTCACTGTCGGTTATCCTCACTTGCTGTTTCAAATGAAGGCAGTCATGCAATTTCTTATATCTGATATAAAAAAACTAAACAAGAAACTATCTTCCAAAATCCAAATTTAGTTAGTAAAATCAACATTTATCTATTATCTGTCTCCCTATAAATTAGTAACATAATAACAGCTATGATGCTCAAATATGATACACTTATCGGATATGATACATACAATATGTATCCACTTTGGCAACGATTATTCTAAAAATTCACAACATAAGAATATACAAAGGGTAATTCTGCAAATCCAAATTAAGAACATCTTCTTGGACAGCACAAAAACAAAAATAAAAATTATAAACCAGTATCATAAATCACTACCTATTATTTATAAGTCGGATTAGTATCAATTTCACTCCTTTCTTGAGATCATACATAAAGAGGATAAGTTCCATCTTTTGATTCATTAAGGAACAATATTTCTAAAATTCCACATTTCTATATTATACATGTTTCTGTGTCTCATAAGTAGCTATATTAGTGACTCATAACTTTTTAAGGGCTTGGATACTTCACAGATACATGAAGCAAATGAAATCATTGGTACTTCATAGAATATTAATAGCGGTTTTGTTAATGGATGCCCTACGAAGACAAGTTAAAAAGAATAAAATACCTTCATTTCTAGTAAAACACATTATTTCCTAATGCACAAATTAATACCAAATTCAAGTTTTGCTAATAAAAACACTATCTAGATATACGAAACAAAAATGTTTTCAATTTATTAATTTACAAAAAACCAATACAAAATTCAATGCATTTACTACCCAAAAAGAGCTCATCGTTTCTTAATATGATATTATAACGGATGCCTAATCATAGTAATCACATTCCAATTGAACAATCAGCATATATATGTTCAAGTGATAAAATAAAATAATAAGTATAGCTTTTTTATTTTTCCCAATCAAAAAAATTCCAAAATCCACGCTTGCTACAGTTCAGAAGAAAATTCAAGACGGTTACCTGTCGTCATGCCAAAAGGAGTTTGCATCTAACTCAGGTAGCACTAGTGTAGCATTCATGATTCGTGCAGCAAGAACAGCATTGGATATCTATAGATTTAAATAGAAGTGTATCAATTATACATACACAGAATGATAATCGCACCATCATACACATAGGAAGCCTCATCTTATCAGCAACACTAGATAGCTTAGTAGACAGACACAATGCAAATAATTTGAAGTTGAGTTGATGCACTAAACAAAAAAAAATACAGTTTACAGTGAGAGGAAAAAGGTACAAACCGCACTGCGCTGCTGATTTAGCCCACCGTTACATCGAACACGCAAATAGCCGTTACTCTCGTTCGGAGGAGCTGAGACAAAACACCAAATACAGCATGAGAAACTTCAAGAACATTACATTCAGAAGAAAATTCTTGCATCAAAAACAGTCTGTAACTACAAGAATAGAAAGATACGGGGCCAATTAGTTCGCGGAGCAGACGACGGCCGCCAACCACCGGAATCAGCGTTGCTCCAAAGCTCTTCTAAATGGATCTGTTCAACATCAATAACAAATCACAGAATTACACGAAAATGCATGAAATAAGTACAAATTTCATTTAACAAAAGAAAAATGCATAAAAATTCCGAATGAAGTTTCCTCGATTCGCTGGAATTACATTGTGAACTGAAAAATTTGCACGAACCTCGGAGCGATAGTTGGATTGGGGACTCGAAGTTCCGGTTGAGGAGTAGAACAAGGAGAGCGTGCAGATCAAGAGGACCACAGCAGCAACCGACAGCTTCACGATCATTCCTTTGAATCCCGAGCCTCCGCTGTGCCTCCCATGCTGCCTGTGAAAGCCAGCTCTACAAGGAACAAAACGTCGACGTTTAATAATCAAAATCAAAATCAATCTGTAATCGCTATTTGAACCGTACCTCCTCATTGTTAAGATCCAATGGCTCTGTTCTTCAACGGATCCAGCGCTTCGAGATTACGGTTCAGTGCTGAAGCAGGGATTGGAATGGCAGTTGCGGCTGAAAGTAAGGCGAATGGAGGACCTGCCGGCGATCAGGAAAGCTAAGGTTGCCGGTGGAGAAGCAGTGATGGTAGAGAGAAGATGAAAGGAAAATGATTTGAACGAAGCGATTTTGGACAGGTTATGGGCTTCTGATTCTGAGTGGGTTTGGACTTTGGAGAATGGGCTACGGAGAAAGAATGAAAGGAGATATTGGGCTGTTTTATTTTATTTCTTGGCTATGATATATACACCTCCATTTTTTTATACATACACCCCCTTTTTAAAAAAAATATATTAAATTTATAAATTATCCTTAATATTATTTGAAATAAAAAAAAATTATTCTCAAAATTTTTTTTCGGAAGTATATTTGTACATAATTATGGAAAGTTCTTTCCGGAATACTAAAATTACTATTCCGAAAATAACTTTCTATCGGAATAATTCTGGAAAGTACTTTCCCTAATACTAAAATTACTATTGCGGAAAGTTCTTTCCGGAATTATGGTAACAAATACACACACTGTTAATATTCCAGAAAGAATTTTTCGCAATAATAATTCTAGTGTTACGGAAAGTATTTTCCATAATTATTTTGACGGAAAGTTATTTCCGAAATAGTAATTTTAGTATTCTGGAAAGTACTTTCCGTAATTATTCTGATGGAAAGTTCTTTTCGAAAGGCTCATGATATATACACCTCTCTTTTTTTATAAGTACACTTTCTTTATTTTTTTAAAAAAATTATAAAATATTATATATATATTTTTTAATTTTATACCTTTAACTTTCAATTTTCTACTTTTTTCTTTTTTTTCACACACTTTTTTTTTTCTTTCAATTTTTACATACTACCAAAATAGGTGGATGAAGGAAAAGGTGTACTTATAGGAAAAAGGAAGTGTATATATCATCAACCTTTAAAAAATACTTTCTAGAATAATTTTTTTTTATTTCAAATAATATTAAGAATAATTTAAGAATTTAATATTTTTTTTATAAAAAAAATGGAGGTGTATATATCATCAACCTTATTTCTTTTGCTTATGTAACACAACTCCCAACCAAAATACGAGTCATATTCTAATATATTGAATTCTAAACCCCCTATTGCTATTGAGTATTGACTGGCAACAGTTGTCCAATGCGACAAAAAGCCTACCAAATTCTGTCAAATTATGGATTTTCTTTTCCTCATCCTTCACTCAATATCATTTTCCTTTGCATACTTTTTATGCTTCAATATCAAATGCATAATTTATTATTTAATAAATAAAATAATCTTATGTTATAATATAATTTATTTATATAAATTTAAAATATGATTTATATATTTAAAGATGTCTATTTATTCAAATTTATATATAATTTATATATTCAAACATAATATTATATATATAATTTATTTTAGAATTTTATTATATATAATAAATATATAAAATGTGTATTGTGTAAAATAAAATAAAAATTTTATTTAAATTTAAATTTTTTTTTAACAATTTATCTCTTTAAATATATAATTGCATATTTATTATTATTTTTAAAAATATTATCAATAATTAATTTTTATCACAATATAAACTATTTATCATGAATTAAGAATATAATTTTTACAAATTTAAAATTATTTATTTAAAATTTTATTATATAAAATAAATAATTATCTTAAAACATTGTGCACATAGTATAATGCAAGTTAAATATAAAATTCTAATAAATAATATTAAAAAATTAATTATCCTTATAATTTATATAATTTTATGAACTTTATATTTTTAGTTCTTGTTATTAAAATATTTCATTTTAGTTTTTATACATTTAATTTTTTTTCGTTTTAATCTTTATAGCTATATATTCCACGAGGAGGATATACTTATACGGTTAGTCAATTCACATAAAAAAAGATGTTCGGAAAATATTGTAATTTGTTTTAATACAATTATTGACTAAAAAAGATTGTAATTAAAGTTTATTGCTTATCACCTAATATTATTATTTTAAGTATTAATTATAGTATATTTATTGTTTTTTTTGGGTACTGTTTGTCTTTTTGGTATTAGTATATTTGGTTGTTGAACTGACCAGTTAACTTTCAAATGTTTAATTATATTTAAGTTTCTACAAATAAAATTTTTGTCTTGTTTTAGTTGCTGTAACAAAATAAATCTTTCACGTTTTCTTATTATCTTTTTTTAAGTCTTCATCAATAACTTTAATTAGTTTAGTACTCCATATCTAACAAAATAAATAATATTAATTAAGATAATTAAGGTAGTAAATAATATTTTTAATTAAAATAATTAAAAATATTTTGTAATTTAATTATATATTAGACATTTATTATTTTATGTAAATATAATAATTACATATTAATTTTTATAATTTTTATTTTATTTTTTATTTTTATTATATTATTACAAATTAATTTTATTTCTTTTAATGATGTTCTTACTTTGCAATCTACTAATTTATTTTTTAAAAATTATACATTTTGGTAAATAAAAATTTATAATTTAGTTTTAGTTTAGTAATTACCTTTATCTTTGGATACAAAACCACTATTGTGATATATTTAAAAACAAACTATATCACGATCAATCAAAATTAATGAATTAAAGTGTACAAATGACATTAAAAATGAGATATTAAAAATACATTACAAGCATCAAAGTAAATTATAATATTTTTAAAAAGTATAGTTATTAAAACTAGATTAATAAATTAAAAAGTAAAAATAATATTAAATGCAATAAAATTCACTATTATTAGCATACTAAAATTAAAAATAAAATTATATATAATTAACTAATTATCTATTTATATCAAATAATAAATATAATAGTTAAATAAATTATATTTATAAAAATTATTTAATTATCTTAATTAAAATATAACTTGTTATCTTAATTAATATTCTTTATGTTTTTTAACGATTTTGATTTTAGTATTAAACTAACTAACGTTAGTAATAAGAACTAAAATAAAATACTGAAAATGCCAAGGATCTAAAACTAACAAAAAAAAATAAAAAACTAAAATAAAATTGGGAAGACTTGAGATATATTTAAGTCTTTTCAAAATTACAAACATATAAAAGAGTAAGATTAGATTTTAAAAAAATCAAAATATTAGAATAAAAAAAATTATTATCTATTAATCCTGAATGGAAATTATTGTAATTGCCTTCATTTGATTATGAAATTTTTCTTAAGTGTGTTTGAATGAGGAATTTTAAAATCTTAAAAATTTAAAATTTTTTATATTTGAATTACTTTGATTTTAATTTTTATTATTTTTAAAATATTTAATTTAGATAAACCAATTCAAATTTTTTAAATTTTAAATTATTAGTATGGATATGATAATTTGATTCTATCATGGTAAAATTGATTTTAAAAATATATTCATATGTTGAGATTTTTAAATTAAATTTTAAAAAAGAAAAAAAAATTATCTAATTTTTAAATATTTAATAATTTTTTAAAAAAATTAATATTTAATAATTTAAAATATTTAAAAATATTAAATAATTAAAAATATAAATAGATAAGAGATAAGATAAAATATATGAGTGAAATAAGAGGAAAAAATATATATAAGAAAATTCAAATTCTTATTATTTTAAGAGAATTTAAAATTTTATTATTCTAAGAAATTTCATATATACTTTGATTTTAAATTCTTTATAAGTTCTACATCTAAACAAAACATTACACCCTAAAAATCTAAAATTCTTCAAACAAATAAATTACTCTATTTAAATTTTTCATCAAAACACACTCTTTTATATTTAAAAAAATTGATTGTATTGAAATATTATACAAATTTAATCAATTTGTTGGACAAATAATTAAAACATTTGTTGGAAAATTTTTCAATATGCATTTATTGTAATGACTCGTCATGATACATTAAACGGAACAACTACCAACTTAAGATCATATACTTACAAATACTAAAATAGGTATAATATTGCATGCATATAAGGATGAAACATCTACTCCAATATCAACTATATACATACAATAATTCTACATATGCAAATATACAACTGAGTTGTCAGTCAAACAACCATAATTATCTACACACAAATCTACCACTAATAGGTAGTCATCAAAACATCAAACTCCAACGCCATTATATGGCTTCTACTATAACACTTCAGTCCTATCTCTGTCCTACTTTTATATCACGTATGATCATCACAATCTAAACCACATGAAAACATGTAAGGGTAAGCTAGGAAAAAAAAAAGAAACAATATATATATATATATATATATATATACACACACACATACACACATAGGAACATCACATCATCATCTCATATTTGATAACACAACAATAAAACATCACAACATACAACACAAATTAACATAATCCAACTTTGAATCAACACAACAACACATTTCATCACAATTAAACATAACATATGAACAACACAATTAAACATAACATATGAACAACACAATTAAACATAACATATGAACAACTCAATCATTTCAACACATCATATGCTTAACATAATAGTTATATGCGTTGTCACGCATTTCAATTAGGACATCTCTGTAACATAAGGTGAGTAGTTTAAGTGACTTGATCCTACCTAGGGACGGATCCACGTTTTAGAGTGTGGGGGCACTTGCCCCCACTACTATGTAATACATATATAATTTTTTATTTTAAAAAATAATATATTTTAAAAAATAAAAATTATATTCTAATAAAATAAATATATATGTTTAAATTATCATATGTATAAAATATAGATTCAGAGAAAATATTTATTTATTTGATGTCTGTCAGACTTTTAAAGGAGATTAATTCTCTTATATGATAAATAATATTTCTTAATAACGAATCAATTTTTTT